AAAGGGGTCTTGAGATCATGGAAGGCTTGGAAATTACTGGAGGTCTGTAGGACAAGGTGGAGACCCCGTAAAACATCTCAAAGGGGTTTTGAGATCATCTTGAGGGTCTCCAAAGTCATGGGAGGTCTGTAGGACAAGGTGGAGACTCCATGGAACATCTCAAAGGGGTCTTGAGGTCATCGTGGAAGGCTTGGAAATTACTGGAGGTCTGTAGGACAAGGTGGAGACCCCATAAAACATCTCAAAGGGGTCTTGAGATCATCATGAAAGGCTTGGAAATTACTGGAGGTCTGTAGGATAAGGTGGAGACCCCGTAAAACATCTCAAAGGGGTCTTGAGATCATGAAAGGCTTGGAAATTACTGGTGGTCTGTAGGACAGTATGGTGACCCCATGGAACATCTCAGAGGAGTTTTGAGGTCATCATGAGAGGCTCCAAAGTCACTGGGGGTTTGTAGGACAAGGTGGGGACTCCATGGAACATCTCAGAGGGGTTTTGAGGTGGTTGTGAGAGGTTCCAAAGTCACTGGAGTTTGTAGGACAAGTGAGACCCCATGGAACATCTCAAAGGGGTTTTGAGGTGGTTGTGAGAGGTTCCAAAGTCACTGGAGTTTTGTAGGACAGCAGTGAGACCCCATAAAACATCTCAAAGGGGTTTTGAGATCATCATGAGAGGCTCCAAAGTCACTGGAGGTCTGTAGGACAGCATTGAGACCCCATAAAACATCTCAGAGAGGTCCTGAGGTCGTCGTGAAAGGCTCCAAAGTCACTGGAGATCTGTAGGACAGCATTGAGACCCCATAAAACATCTCAGAGAGGTCTTGAGGTCATCATGAGAGGTTCCAAAGTCACTGGAGTTTTGTAGGACAGCACTGAGACCCCATAAAACATCTCAAAGGGGTTTTGAGGTCATCATGAGAGGTTCCAAAGTCACTGGAGGTCTGTAGGACAGGGTGGAGACCCCATAAAACATCTCCAAGAGGTCCTGAGGTTGTTGTGAGGGTCTCTAGGATCACTGGAGGTCTGTAGGACAGGGTGGAGACCCCATGGAACATCTCCAAGAGGTCCTGAGGTCACCTTGGGGACCCTTTGGTCACTGTCAGGGTCTGTAGGACACCGTGGGGACCCCACCTGGGCTCAGGGGGGTCCTTTCGGGGTCCCCAAGGCCACCTCAGGGACCCCAAGGCCACCTCAGGGACCCCAAGGCCACCTCAGGGTCCTCAAGGCCACCATGAGGTCCCCAAGGCCACCTCAGGGTCCTCAAGGTCACCTCAGGGTCCCCAAGGCCACCTCAGGGTCCTCAAGGCCACCTCAGGGTCCCCAAGGCCACCTCAGGGTCCCCAAGGTCACCTCAGGGTCCTCAAGGCCACCCTGGGGTCAGCAGGGACCCCCAGACCTCCCCTCCCAGTATAAACCAGTACAGCCCAGTGCCTCCCTGCTGGGTTCTGCACCACCACGGGCCATCCCAGTATAAACCAGTATAAACCAGTACGGACCAGCGCAGCGTCCCGGCTGGGAGCTTCAGCAGCTGCGTGGCCTTGGGCCGGACCAGTACGGACCAGTATGGACCAGTACGGACCAGTACGGACCAGTATGGGGCTGGGAGCCCAACTGGGAGCCCCACACGCGTCGCTTTGTGCCGGACCAGTATGGACCAGTACGGACCAGTATGGACCAGTATGGACCAGTATGGACCAGTGCCTTGCCGTGGCCTTCAGCCATCCCAGCACGCACCAGTACGGACCAGTACGGACCAGTCCGGTAGCCAAACTGGGAGCTCTTCACCGGCGTGGCCTTGCGTCCTCCCAGTACAAACCAGTACAAACCAGTTCAAACCAGTACAAACCAGTTCAAACCAGTTCAAACCAGTCCGGAGCTCGCCCAGGATCTCTTCACCCGCGTGGCCTTGCGTCCTCCCAGTACGGACCAGTACAGACCAGTACGGACCGGTAGGGTGTCCCCACTGCTGCGTTGATGCCCGTAGGCCTTCTCCCAGTATGGACCAGTACAAACCAGTTCCTGCCCCTCCCCTCCCCCCACCCTGGGTGCCTTC